TCTGGGCCCAAGGTGGACATTGGTGTTCCAAACATGGACATCAAAGGGCCAGAAGGACAACTGAAGGGCCCCAAGGTGAAGATGCCTGAGATGAGCATCAAGACCCCCCAGATCTCCATGCCTGACATCGACCTCAGCCTCAAAGGGCCCAAAGTCAAGGGAGACCTGGATGTGTCCGTCCCAAAACTGGAAGGAGAGCTGAAAGCTCCTGGGCTGGACATCAAAGGCCCCAAAGTCGACGTTGAAGTTCCAGACGTGGACGTTCACGGCCCAGAGGGCAAACTGAAGTTCCCCAAGCTGAAGATGCCCAAATTTGGGGTGAAGGGAGAGAGCCCCAACGTGGAGGTGGCACTCCCCAAGGGGGAGGTGGACATTTCTGGTCCCAAGGTGGACATTTCTGTGCCCAAAATGGACATCTCTGGGCCCAAGGTGGACATTGGTGTTCCAAACATGGACATCAAAGGGCCAGAAGGACAACTGAAGGGCCCCAAGGTGAAGATGCCTGAGATGGACCAGAAGTGAAGGGCAAAGGTCTGAAGTTTAAAATGCCTGAACTGAACGTTCAGAGCCCCAAACTGTCCATGCCAGACGTGGATCTTGGCTTGAAGGTCCCAAAACTGAAAGGAGACGTTGGAGTTCCTGGTGTGAAGATCTCTGGAGAGCTGAAAGGTCCCAAAGTAGACGTGGGAAGTCCCAAAGTAGATGTGGAAGGTCCCAAGGTGGATGTGGAAGGTCTCAGGGTGGATGTGGAAGGTCCCAGGGTGGATGTGGATATGCCTGAGGTGGATTTGGAATGTCCAGAAGGGAAGATAAAAGGTCCCAAGTTTAAGATGCCGAAGCTTAACGTGAAGTCGCCCAAAATCTCCGTGCCGGACGTGGACCTGAACCTGAAAGGCCACAGGGTGAAGGGGGAGATGGACATTTCCCTCCCCAAGGTGGAAGGTGATGTTGGTGTTGACATCAAGGGGCCGAAACTGGACGTGGAGGTCCCAGATGTCAACCTGGAGGGTGCCGAGGCCAAGCTGAAGATGCCCAAGGTGAAAATGCCTCACTGGAACGTGTCTGGCCCCAAACTTGAGGGGCCTGAGGTGGATGTGAACTTACCCAAAGGAGACTTGGAAGTTTCTGGCCCAGAGGTGGATGTGGAAGGACCTGAGGTGGAGGTTGGAGGAGTAGAAGGGAAGTGGAAAGGTCCCAAATTTCGGATGCCCAAGCTGAACATCAAAACGCCCAAAATCTCCGTGCCCGACGTGGACCTGAACCTGAAAGGACCCAAAGTGAAGGGAGAGGTGGAGGTGGCAGCTACAAAGCTCGAGGGAGACCTGAAGGGCCCAGAAATAGACCTCAAGGGGCCAAAGGTGGAGGTGGAGGTGCCCAACGTGGACGTGGAGCTCCCGGAGGGGAAGATCAAGGGCCCCAAGTTCAAGATGCCTGAGATGCACATCAAGCCCCAGAAGATCTCCATGCCTGACGTGGACATCCACCTGAAGGGCCCCAAGGTCAAGG